AACAACAACAACAACAACAACAACAACAACAACAACAACAACAACAAAAAAAACTCAAAACATTGGGGGAAACTGTGCCAGCATCTGCTCATTTACATCAAGTGTCCAAATCCTACCTCGGATGTAGGTTTCAATGCCAAGGAACCTTTTTTTTTGCACGAGTGGAGACGCCATGTGTGCGGTGTGCACAGGTCATCTGTTTCAATGCCAAGGAACCTTTTCGATGAGCACCAAAGAGATGTGATCCTTACACTTGGCCTCCAGTTCGAGTTGGCTGGAAGGTTGGGATGGCTTTTGACGAAAAAGCCGACCAAATCAATTCTAAGGGATTTGAGCTGAATCTAAGCTGACCGTCATCTGAACTGAACTGATGCCCCTAACTTCCAGGGCCACACGAGGTAACAAGGCTTACAGGGCAATCTTGTCTTTTGTTGCTCTTTTCCTTGAACACAATGAACTTCTCCAGCAGTTTAAGAACCCATGGAACACACGCACAGTCACCCCTCTTCAATCCTTCACGATGTCTGTTCGTTTGGTGGATTCGTCGCCGGAGTTGGAGGGAGCTGAGGGAGTTCGCCGCCTCCCTCCAGCAGCTTATCATACTTCAATTGCGGAATCGGACTCGTTTGCCGGAATTCGGCTGACCATCCAATTGACCATTCGAGTTTGGGCAGAATTGGCCCGAAAGCAATCCTCGAGGGTCGTGGATTGTAGTGCACACCAATCCCGAAAGGTCCCAGAAGAAGCAAGGAGACATTCAAAAAGGAGCACAAAGACGTTCCCAGAAAAACAAACATAGGAGATGAGGAGTTCAAAGAAAGTACAAGGGGACTCACTCACTCATGAGTCATGAGGAGTCAATAGTGTGGGATTTGGAATCCATGAACCCACCAGCTGACCTGATGCGAAGTTGCTTTTCCTAAAATCCCAAACGATAAAACCAGCTGGTGGGCGTGAACAGGTGCCACATGTGGGATCTGCCAGGCACCGGGCAATACCGGGCTGCACACAGAAACGAGGTAAATGAAGCGGTTGTGACCCCACGATTGATAGAAAAAGTCACTGCTCAAGATGTCTTGTCTTGGCCACCGTTGTACTGTTCTCTTAATCTGTATCCATCTCACTCATCCAAGCAGCGATCACCATGTTGGCATCCTGCCAACGTGCCCGTGGATGGATCAGGTCCAGACACCATGCTTCACAGGTGAGTGTCAACACGCAAATTGGGTAGCCCTGGTGGAATGGAGGGTCATTCGAGCTACAGCTGTCCGGAACTCCCGTATGATCCAATCCAAGCGTGCGGCTGGTCCTACAGGATTGGGCCCAACGGCTCTAGCAAGCGAAGATGGTCAAACCTACGGAAAGCACGATGCTCCGCAACCCACTCGCATACTTTTACTCCATTTTACTCCTTCAATATCAAGAGTCTGTTCGCCACATCCTCTGAACCTGTCTGGAACATATGACAAAATGGGGATAACACAAATTACATTCACCCGAAGCAAAATTGGGCCACACCAGGCAGTCCTTAGGCCAAATCTCCTTGAAGACGGGCTCCAGGCGCGGGAACTGCTCCTGAACGCCAAACGACGGCAGAGAGGCCACTCGTCGCGAGGTCGGAGGTTTCTGTGCGTCGTCTTGGGGGACATGACCTACAAAAGTGGATTTTCTCCTATAGGCAGTACTCTCAAGTTGAGGCTGAGACGACTATACAGGGTATTCCTCTTGCGTGGTCCTATTGACTATGCCCTGACGGCCCCTCAAGTATGGTTTCAAAAACACTCCTTCTTTGCTTAGCACTTAGCACCTTGGTGTCACCTGCGCCGCGGTGTCCAAACAACTGTAGCGGTTAAATAGCAAGCGCTCTTTGGACCTGAAGACCAGGTAAGCGCGAGACATGATTCATCCTATTGAGCTATGGAATCAACATGATTCAACCACTCTGATGCTCCGCTAAAGATATCAAACACTTCTGAACCAGTGTCAAGTGGACAGGTGAACCAGTGATGTCCTCATGAGCTTGGTCTCACCGGCTTCCACCTTGATTTTTTCTTGATGAGGGCCATGCCAACAACTCCTTTGAGAAACTCAAACAGAGTTCTCTTCGATTTTGGGAGGTGAATCCGGTGAATTAAGTAACTTAGCGAACTGCCAGCGCTGTTTGAGCGACACAAGCACAAACCGTGCCGCTCTTAGGACCTGTTTGATTGCCCCAAACAAGCCACACAACGGAACGTTTGGACTTGGATTCCAGGCCTGAAGAAGTCCCCGGCAAGTCCAAGCAACTTCAACAAACATCAGGCAAGTCCATGGTTTCATCCATTTTGGGGGATGGGTCGTGGCAGTCGTGGATCTCTTACTTGACCTATTTGGCGGACCGGTGGTTCCATGGCTGACCAGGACGGCTCCAGGTCTTCCATCGATCCATTCGATGACCCCACCATGCACGAAGGGGTGGACCTGACAGCGGCCCGATGACCCACCTGGATCTTCTGCTTGATGCCCCGTTGGACAGAGCTCTTCACCTGGCGGGCACCAACATGTGCTTGGTGGTGACCATTTTCTGACTCCTGCTTGGTAAGGAATAAGTGGTATATGGATTCAAGGGTATCTCTGGTTGTGGGGGGTCATTCATCCTCATTCCCTACGAGTCGCAGCAGTCGGTTTTGCTGGACGGAGGCTGCCAGCCTCACACCCACGCGGTGGGGAGCTGGAGTCGAGAGCTGGTCAGCTTGTCTGGTGGGGAGCCGAACCGGTACTTCTTGGGAGGTCCACCCTAAAGGCTGGTCAGAATAAACCACCAAGGCCACAGGCCAAACATGTATGAAATCGATTCATGCATATTCATGCTGATTCATGGCCTCGCAAATTGGAAGGGAGAGTAACGCAGATGTGCTCTCCCAAAAATCCCCCGTCCCTGGGTATACCTGGGTCATCCTCTCCCAACGGCGTGACCGGGCATACCCGGTCATGCGATTCTCTGCCTGGTTCTGTCCGGAGACATCCGCTGGAGTAAAGCCCTTGAACATGGCGACGGCAGCTCGGCAGCTCGATTCTTTTTGGCTGCGCCCGTGTCCAATGTAGCTTTGTTGGGAAGGAAGGCTGGTTCATATGATATTGAAGGAGGATCCAACGTGCATGTTCAACAAACGCCGCTTTCTTCAAGGTGGGTTTAAGATACAAGTGGTCAATTTGATTCAATGTTGATTCATGTTGATCAATGATCTTGTGATGTTTTGTGCGTTTGACGATGGGTGGAGGATGACAACATGAACACTTTGCACGCCTCTGTCTCAGCTTCTACCAAGATCTGCCAGCCCAATAGCAGCGGATTCGGATGGCACGTTGCAACTTCCTCGTTGCGACCTAACTTGGAACAAAACAACAAGGTTGGGACGGGGAAAACAAACAAAGTAACCAGCAGTTCCATATCTGGGTGTTTGTGTCCCATCCTGCATCATGGGCACCGCCTATCCTTTAACAGGCACCCCGACATGGGGCCTGCTGGCCTGCAATATAGGACGTTTTCTGTCATTGATACCCCCCCGGCGTCTTACTGGCGGATGGTTTTGTTATCTCAATGGCGGGTTCCACGTGACACGTTCCTCGTGGCCAATTGTAGAATCGCCACCCCATCCGTCGGTTTTCGGGTCAGCGGCAAGTTAAGTGGCAGTGCCCGAGACTCACAAAAGACTGTAGCACCCGGAAAGAAAAGAAACAAACACCAGAAAGGGATTATCCATACGGAAAACAACGAATCACCTTTAGCAAAACCAGGTACCTTATTGTCCCCCAAAAAGCCTCGGAAACCTACACCAAGCATGTAGGAGCATCTGGCGAATCTGGGAGCGTACACTAAGACGCAAGGACTGACGCAAGGCAGTCTGTGGCACCTTCCTGGCGGTCCCCGTCTGTGGACCCCGGGCCCGGCCGGATCAAGGCGGTGGCAGCCTCTCCGATGAGTCGACGGTTTCACCGCCGTTTTGGACCACTCCGACTCGTTTTGGCCAGGAAAGTGGAGTGAAAAGACCATGTGCCTTCACCGTAGTTCGTGAGAAAGGAACGCAGGGTTTGAACCTCATGCTTCTCTTCTTCCGGGAGCCTTTTCATCCATGCCATCCAATCTGTGCTTTAGTTCAAAATTGGTTGTAATTTATATATTATATATACAGTTATTCAAATAAACATCATCCTCTTCCTTTTGAATTTACTATAACTTGCTTTTCTCCTCTCCGTATCGACCTTCAGTGCATTGTAGGCGCTCCTCACCAAGCGGTGCGACCTCGAACGTGGCGAGCTTCAAGTGTGGCGAAAACAAGAAGAGGACCCATTTGAGACACCACAGGCATGAAAGGTCAGCTCTTTTTGATAGTTTGTTGTAGCTGGCGGAACATGGGCTTTCAATCAAGGACACGGACGAGGGGAGGATGGGAACATGAGGGAGAAACAAAAGCAATCCCTAGACATCAGGTAGAAGCCAAAAGCCTGAAGGAACATCCAATTGGCATGAATGTCTCGCTACAAAAACCACTAGCTCGTCGCTGCTGAAGGTGACGAAAGAGTTGAGGCAACAGAATAACGGGCTTTTGGTCAAGACTCTGCTGCCTCAGTGTGAACACCTAGAATGGTCTGAATGGTCCAAACATAAGACGTTCACCAAACTGAATCTGCTGGCACCTTGTCGTGGCTTTGCGGGTGATGCCCTGGACGTCCATCCACTTAGATACCGTACCTCGACCTTTCCAACGTATCTTCAAAAAAATGGGACACAACCGGTACTGGCACCCATTCTCCGAGGTAGGAACTGAGACTCCAGGTTGAACGTCTGCCGCTCAGTGAATGGTATGCAGCTACTTGGACCATTCAACCATATCATGTCTTCCATGATTGAATGCGGATGTACGCACAATTCCTGTCAGGATAGTCCTTCAAGTGTTTCAAGCTCCAATCATCCTCTGTTTTTTAGAAAACCTCTGTTCTTTTTTGAATGTGACTGACAGAGCTTCTCGGATTCTGCCACCCGCTTCTCCGCCCGAGAACCTTGGGTGGACCACCTTGCTCCACCTACTCGGTGGCCACCGGTCTCAACCAGAACTGTGCCCAGGTGCTCGTCGTCACAGTGGCCCACCAAGTAGGTCTCGTTGAGATCCGCGTGGAAGCCCTCGAGGCCTCAGAAGAAACATGTGGAGTAAGGAGTGGTGGGTGGGTGGGGGTGGGGGTGGGGGTGGGGATACTTCACATGATATAAAACCATCCAAAGAAGGCTACGAGGATCCCAAATATCTTCAACACGAAAGTTCATGAAAGGCCAAGGGGTGAGCACCTTCTCTTTGGTTTTGGTCGTGGTGCCGGTACTCGTCCACTTGCAAATGAGATGACTGGCGGTTTTGGCGGCATGTGAGCCGGCGAAGGAGGGACCGGGAACTGCGGAAAACGGTCCCCGAAATAGAGCCCAAATGCATCCAAATGCTGCCGGCCCCCGAAGAAGGAAGTTCCGTCCGGCCTCCCCCTGCTGGTCTCTGGGTTTCCACGCAAACACTTACATCTAAATTCACCTGGCGAAGCCATGAGCTCGAGCGAAGACGTGCGAAGGACCAGGGTCTCTGTCATCCGGTCATCAACAGACCCTACTAAGGCCCTACTATACCACGTATAGTTAAGATATTTTTTTGTCTTGCGGGCGAAAACATGGGACTCCCCACTAAATATGGCCCTGGTCGGACAACACTTCGCTTGCAACAATAAACAGCACGAAAAGACGACAACAACAACAACAACAGCCCCTGGAAGGACTCTTCAAGTGATTCCTCGTCAGAGTGTCGCTGAGTGTCGCGCCAATACGGCAGGCTGCTATGGTGGGGGCGCGACAGCGCGCCCGCGCCCTAGTACTAGGAGCACTATAGAAAAAGCACAACAACACAACATGGAAACATATGAAAAAAACACACACATGGAACATGGAGTCTTACCTCTCAGCAACGCTGAAGTCGTTACAGGCATAGCTCTGTATGATGCCCACAGTCACAGTCAGGTAGTGGTGCTCGCTCAGCACTGAACAAATATGTTCCCACATTGAGCGGCCCCTTTAAGAATATAAACACCCCTGCACACATGCATGGTAAAACCTCTTCAGGCCTTTCTGGCGTTGACATATTCATCAAAAAAGTCTATCCTTACGTTCACTTTTCACCCAAAAACCTCATGGGTCCAAAGCTGCCGCCCCGTTGCTCCTCGCTCGCTCGTGTGGCGGTCGCTGCGCCGGTGCGGCCAGATCGCCGTCCGCCAAGGGACGGCTGTCGGGGATCCCGTGGCAAATCACCTGCCGGCCCGGCTAAGCCGGACTCTGTCGATGTACCGGCTGTTTTCAGGCGATATTAATTCAACTGTCATTTGTGTACACTATATATACCAACCTGATCGACCCCTGTTTGGGAGCCAAAACATGGTCTTTCCTATCAAAACAAATGTCAAATATACAATATACAGTACAAATCAAGTGCGTGGTATATATGACCAGGATCTATAAGGATTGTATCGTGAACACATGTGTGAAAACGAGTGAATATTTATCCAGCTTTTATGCTGTGCTCGTCACTTGGATGATGCTAGCTGTTAACAAGCATCCATCAAATCTTTGTGTTTTCACTCTCAATCATTGGGGGGCACAAGAATGATGGCAACCTAACCTGTAACACATTGACATGCACACATTCAAAAATAGATAGGGACATCTTTTGTGATGATGATGCTCCACAGAAGCAATCCAGTCTTCCTGGAGTTTGGTGTGTGTGTGTGTGTGTTAGGTGAACATCACCCATGTCACCTCGTAAATTCAGAAAAGAGTCCCAACACCTTGGAAGTCCCAACCAAAACCCATTGAATTGAATGAGCTTCAGGGCGTCAGCCTGAACCCAGTTGAGTGACTCGCCGCGGCCCACCGCGGCCCTGAGTCCACCCAGTCGACTGAGCGAGCGCTTTCATCGAGTCACCGGTGCCCGTCGGTGCCGCCCCTTCAGCGGCCTCGTTCACTGAGACGCAAATCGACTTGGGAAAGCCCATGTAGTTCAAGGGGCTCGGATAGAGGCCTCTGCCGCGGTGGTGGAGGCCCATGTGGTGGAGGCTTCCAGCACGTTCGAGGGTTCCACCGAACGGAGGCCCGATCCATTTCACGAACGATGCCCGGTCCGGTCCGGTGGAGAAGCCCCGGACCTGGTGGACCTGGACCGACACCGGACGCCCTTGAGACCAAGATACGCTTCACGAAGCACGGTCAGCCTCCAGGATCAAACCATTCAACGATTGAACATCACTTGATCGGTCAGCCGCACTTGGTTTTCTCCTTGTCACTTGAAGTTTCTGTGCAAACACCCATGATTTGAGGCAATTCATCCATTGTTGGTTCTGGAAACATCATGAGTTTGACCGTTCATGTTCCACCCAAACCACGGGAAAACATGGCACATGATAGTGATAGCACCCAAGAACTTCTCAGACCCTACACCTCCAGTCGTACCTCCGGTATGACTGGACCCTCCAAATCCACCCCAGTCCCACCGAAACGAAACGAAGGGTACGACTAAAGGCCAAACTGGGAGAAGACATGGGCAAGCGAGCTCAAACGACCTTCCGAGCGGAACCACGACGCAGAACTCTCGGCCTCGGTCACGACACGCGATGTAGACCACCTGGGGCGGTCTCGGGGATTTCTGGTGAAGACCTCTGTGGTTGGCAGGGGCATGCAGAATAAAGCCTCAAGATGAAGTAGAGCAGTATAGCTGGTCACGAGTGGGTTCAACCACGTGCTTGTTTTTCTTCCTTTCTTTATAATAGAAGGATCTGTATATGAGAACCAGTCCTGAGCGGGATCACAACAACATGTTTGATGGAATTTTCCTGGATATCGATTGTGTAGTCATCGCGTCTATGTTTCTTGGCATTGGCACCATTGTGATATCTAAAACCATGATGATCATCATCATCATCACCATCATCGTTACCTTGTGTCGTCTCCTACTGTACTTTCCGGCCGTCGTGTCGTCTAGTCTAAAGGCTGTTCTGTATCCCTTTCACATGTATCTTTTTCCTAAGGAGGCCTTATTGCAGCTGTCTCCCAGGCACAATTGAAGACTGTTTTGGCCTTCACTCATACCGTCCAGTACCCCTTGCTCCTACTCGACTCAGCTACGCCTGGTTACAGCAAAATTTGTTATTCGTTCGTTCGTTCGGTGAGATGCTTTGCGTTTGGTGCTAGGCTGCTGGGCAGTGCTTAGCGATCTGGCTCGCGCCGAGTGTGCTTTGCGAACGCACTTGGTCCGAACCATTGTTTTTCTGATCGCAGAATGCAAATGTTGTTCCTTCTTTTTCGCTTATTTCCCCTTTGTGAGCAAGCATTGCGATCATTGCGTGTAATGCCAACCAAAACAACACGGCTGTGGGTCTCAACCCGGATCCCCAAAGGGAGTAGTCCATTCTGTTCGTTGGTAGTCAACCCAGGTAGTCCGGTGTTGCCCCACAGCCATTCCCCGAGTTCGCGCTCTTCTCGCATGCCCCACTCGGTCGATCTCATCCCCCGTGATGCCGGGCCTCTGGCTCCAAGCAGTGCCAAATCAGCCGTTTTCAAGGGTTTAAGCAGGAGACCTCTATTTGGGTAGGGAACATTCCTGTGATTTCTCTCTATAGAACAGCAGGATGGAAGATTCTGGATGTAGCCTCATCCTAGAGGAAGCACGAGGAAACCACAGCTGGCAGGAATTTGGCCTGGTTTGTAAGCTGGAATAGACAGCTTGCATGCCAAACCAATGCATGGTAGTTGTGCAATCTATAGACCTACAGGTATCTCAGAACATAGATATCCGCGGCCCCCTTCCAAAACAAAAGCAAATTGATCAAACTGAGCTCGCCTCTTCACTGTGGAATAGATAGATAGATAGATAGATAGGTAGGATTAGATTAGGTTAAAATTAAATAGAAGAGAATAGGTTAGATCAGATGAGGTGAAATTAGATTAGATATAGATAGATTAGATAGATACGATAGATAAAATAGAAAAAATGAGATGACATATAAAGACAAACGAAAAGAAAAGATAAGATGGACAGACAGATAGATAGATAGTTAGATAGATAGTTAGATAGGTAGTTAGATAGATAGATGGATAGATAGATGGGTAGATGGATGGATGGATAGATGGATGGATAGATAGATAGTTAGATAGATGGATAGATAGATAGAGAGATAGATAGATAGGTAGATGGATAGATAGATAGATAAATATTATAGATAGATGGATAGATAGATGGATAGATAGATAAATAGATAAAAAAATAGATAGATAGATGGATGGATAGATAGATGGGTAGATGGATAGATAGATAGATAGATAGATGGATAGATGGATAGATAGATGAATAGATGGATAGATAGACAGATAGATAGATAGATGGATAGATGGATGGATAGATGGATAGATGGACAGATAGATAGATAGGTAGATGGATAGATAGATAGCTAGCTAGGTAGCTAGATAGCTAGATAGATAGATAGATGGATAGTTTTTTTGCAGTTTGCAGCATTCTCCGGTGTTCCGGAAACTATGTGGGCGGACACGATTCGAATCGCGGCTTCTAGCCAAAGGAAGAAGCTGTGCACCTAGGTGCTCATGTGGAGCTAGGGCAGACGGGTCAAAAGCCACTTTGGCGACACAGCTGCATCAAAATCAAAAGAGGTTCCTGAGATGAAATCAATCTCAAAGGATTTTCATCAACTGACATCTCCGCATCTTGCCTGATTCCATCAGGCAGTACGGTGTGCTAATTTGCGTTGCATTCTGCGAAAACTCCTTTTGGAGGAGCAAATGTGTCTGGATGCCCCTTCGGGCGCTTCGTGCCCTGTGCCGTATTGCTTGGGGGGGTTCCATCGAATTCCCTGGGATCTAGCGTCCCTTCAGGAAGGCCTACGGCTGCCTTCCAACCCTCACGTCTCATCTCGGGTAACCAACTGAAATCAAACTTACTAACAATTCCGAGATGCCCGGACTTGGGACCGGGGCCTGCAAGCACAAAGGAAGCTCGTGAGCAGTCCACGTACCGAGGTTGTAAGGTCAGTCCAAAGAAAACCAGCAGCCACAACCAAAGGTGCTGGGACACCTGCATGATCAAGCGCCGCTGACCGCTCCCGGTCAGATTTTGGGCAGGCAAAGGCTTGGGACCCAACCAGAATGCAACTCCAACACCAACCTCCTCAACGCCGGCGAAATGTACGCCTCGCAGATACAGTGAAAGTTTGTCATTCTGATCCGGCAACACACAGAATACGGGTGAGCCAGAAGTTCCGGGTTCAGATAAAACTTTGTACGTCTTGATCACCGCGTCATCACGTGGATCATGGACCCATGAATCTGACCCGTCATCATTCGGCTCCGCGTAATGCACATAACTGATGGCTTTCTTCCCCTTCGACTGCAAACATACATGCACCACGAAACTTCTCGTCTTCATACGGTGCACGTCGTTTGGAGATCAACTTCTCAAGAACTTGAGGGGTGATGGCCTTCATCTTTTTCCCCTCCGTCAACTCAACATGATCATCTAGATAAATCAACACTGGAGCGTCAGACAAAGGATCATCACACGTATGGTTCTTCGGAATCTCCAACCTCAATGGTATTTTCATCCTTTGACAAAAACATTCGATAAGGATTATCTTTGAGATCGAAGAATCCATCGTCCGGGAAGCAACCATCTTTCAAGCTAACCTCGGCCTCCTTCCGGACTTTGTAATCCAGTCCATGTGCCACACCGAGCAACACACGCTCGGAGATCAAGAAGAATCCAGTCCGCACTGGATGAGCCGCAGGTCGACCGACCACCACGACACGACTGATCATCTCTAACAGATGAACCGGAAGACAATATTCTTGAGCATGCATAGTCAATGGAGTACATCCATGCAGAGAAACCAAACCTTGCACTAACGGACTGTCAGTGCTGCATTCAGCAGAAAACGTAGATGGCGGTCGATTGTACAAATTCATATGTTGTACAACGATCACACAGAACACACCGACTCCGAAAGTCAGAATGGTTCCCCAACGTGACGCAGTGATGATCGCAAGCCACAAGAACCACGTGCCGGGAACATGCTTCAACTCAAGACCAGCGAGCATTCGAATGTTCATCAAAATGAAGTTGATTGGAGAACTCACGACCTTGATCCCCACGTCAATGACAGAATCATTCTTCCCTCGTGCCATCGTAAACAACAAGAGTGGAAAGAACAAGACAATCAACATGACGATCCATCCGAACACGATGATCACATGTTGCGAAAAATCATACTCCATAAACTCAACGAGAGCTGCAGCGTTGGACACCACCAAACTAGAGAATCTAGGATATCCAAAATTCAACGGACACACAACAGCATACGGAATCAAATACCACCAATAAACAGATTGTGACACCAACAACAAGTCAGCATAACACACCGATGGCATGATGATTAAATGACTAAATAATTGAACACACAACAACGCAAATGCCAACCGCTGTCTCCAACCACACTTGTCCCAATCAGTGACGGGAATGATGATGGGAAGGACGATGAACGCAGCAATGACAATTAAACCGACAAAGTTCATCGACCCGGGAGTTGCAGCGAACCCTTTCAGAAACACAAATATAGAAATAATGAACAAAATCAGTGATGGAGCCAACACCCCACTTCCACTATGGGCAGACGGTCCAGCGGTCTTTTCACCAATTTGACCAGCAGCAATCAATAAAATAAAGTACCCAAACGGAAGTCCCAACTTAAGACCAACCCAAACGCCCAGATCATAAGGAACCAACAAGAACAACACCAAGAAGAAAACAAGGACAATTGATGACAGAACTCTGGGAGAGTTGTGAGATAGATAGATCAATCGATAGATATATAGATCGATAGATAGATAGATAGATGGATGGAGGCCGTACCTTGTACCTGACCTCTTGACCTCTCTCGACCCGGACGGCCTCAGCATCCGCGCGGCGAGGTCCAAGACTTCCCGGCCCTGGAGGCACACCTCGGGCGATGGCGCGGGACCAAAGCAGTCTCCACTAAGCAACCAAAGCGTGACACGCGTGTCATGTTGTGAGGGACAATTTTGATGTCTAGGTGAGTTGGTTAAAAAAAATCCCAGGGCAGTGAGTATACTTGACGCTTGAAGAATGAATCGACCTTATATAGTAACACAAATCTGACATGCATATACGTACAATCTAAACCTGTTGACCTGCTATAGAAGCCGAAAGGATGCGGAACCTCAAACCACAGCACCACACGTAGGCCGCGTCTTCACGCACGCAGACCGCTTGGTTTACGCAGGGCCTGGCGCATGTTCTCCAAGTCGATCCCTTCCAGGACTGGGATGCTCTTGGTCCTGCAGGTCTCTTCCAAGTCGATGATCTTGGATTGGTCTGGGAAGGTCTCCTCCTGTGAATTCCTTTGGTCTATCCCAACCTTTGAGGGCTGGACTGGATGTGGATGATGATGGGGCCTGGTTGCAGGCCGACATCCCTAAAATATATCGGTGATGTTCTTGTTGACCAAGTGCTCCAGGATATTCCAGGTAGGACAATCCCAATCAATTCCATCTGCTGCGGCGATGAGGAAGGACCCTGTTGAGAGTGGCAGTTTCTTTCCAACACCCTTCACCAAGCGAAAGCAAACATTCATGAGACATGTGACATTGTAACAAAGAAGCTATAGCCTTTAGCCAACGTACTTGAACTCGCGCTTGCTTCCTTGCTTTCTTTCTTTTACACGACACTACTGTACCTACTGGCAAAAGACCTTCTCAACCCGTCCATGGATCTGTTTCAATGAGCTGTTGAACATGTCGAGCCAGGAGGGCGGGCCTGGCAGGTGTGTGCAACATCGATTGTTGCGGAGTTGGCATAGCCAACTCTGCTTCCTCCATAACTCCATAACTGGTGAAGAGAGGTATACCTGAAAACTGGCAAATGAAT